ATGCTTGTTAGGAGGCAGTAGGTCTATTCTTATTGTTCTCCATAAAATAAGACCTCAGAACCCACACGGGGATTCGATGAACTGACGTGAAACAAGTCAAGTTTATTGTTTCTTAAACTATAACAACAAATGCCCTATCTCTCTCTCTCTCTCTCTCTCTCTCTCTCTCTCTCTCTCTCTCTCTCTCTCTCTCTCTCTCTCTCTCTCTCTCTCTCTCTCTCTCTCTGTCTCTGTCTCTCTCTGTCTCTCTGTCTATCTCTCTTCCCCGTCTCTATCTCTTCCCCTCTCTCTCTCTCTCTCTCTGTCTATCTCTCTTCCCCGTCTCTCTCTCTTCCTCTCTCTCTCTCTCTCTCTCTCTCTCTCTCTCTCTCTCTCTCTCTCTCTCTCTCTCTCTCTAATGTTGATTTATTGACATTTTCTCTTTATTAATTATAGGAAAATGAAAAAAAAAATGTCTCTTTCAACATTGAGTAATGAGCTTTACTTCTACATCTCCCCACTCCCTCTTTTCCTCCACATTTTTCATCTCTCTCTCTCCCCCTTTCTGTTCTCTCCCTTTCCCCGTTTTGTCTCTACACCTCTCCCTGTCTGTTTCCGTGTGTGCATGTGTGTGTCTGTATGCACGTATGCCTACATGTGTGTGTCTTCTTGTCTGTGTGTGTTTGTGTCTCTGTATCTCTGTGGTGTGTTTGTGTCTCTGTATCTCTGTGGTGTGTTTGTGTCTCTGTATCTCTGTGGTGTGTTTGTGTCTCTGTATCTCTGTGGTGTGTTTGTGTCTGTGTGGGTGCGTGTCTCAGTGTGTGTGTGTGTCTAATGTGTGTATGTCGGTGTGTGAGTCTGTGAGTATTTATGTCTGTGCCTATATGTGTATACATGTGTGTGTATGTATGCATCTGTACATTATGTAGGTGTGTATGTATGTGTGTGTGTGTGTGTCTGTGTGTCTATGTATGTGTCTCTGCATGTTTATGTGACTGTCTGTATGTGTATGTGACTGTCTGTATGTCTGTGTATGTGAATGTCTGTATGTCTGTGTATGTGACTGTTTCTATGTCTGTGTGTATTTTTGTGTACATGTCTGTCACTGCGTTAGTGTGTGTGTATGTTTCTGTGTATGCTTGTGTGTATCTGTATGCATCGATGCCTGAGCGTATGTTCCTGTGTATGCTTGTAAGTATGTGTATTTGTATTCATTGATGTCTGAATGTATGTGTCTAAGTATGTATGGATGTTTGTCTGTCTGCCTGCCTGCCTGCCTGCCTGTCTGTCTGTCTGTCTGTCTGTCTGTCTGTCTGTCTGTCTGTCTGTCTGTCTGTCTGTCTGTCTGTCTGTCTGTCTGTCTGCCTGCCTGTCTGCCTGCCTGTCTGTCTGTCTGTCTGTCTGCCTGCCTGCCTGCCTGCCTGCCTGCCTGCCTGCCTGCCTGCCTGCCTGCCTGCACGTATGGCGAACTGACAAAGCTGTACCATCAGCCCGGCGGCCGAAAAGTTGGGACTGGATATTTTTAGATAATTGTTATTGGGGTTGTTAGAGTTACATTTCTACATGATGGAATCATGGGGTTTCATGTTGGGATCCTGGTGTCTAGAGATCCACGTGACTACATGATGGAACCCTGGGGTCTAGAGATCCATGTTTCACCAGGGTGGAACCCTGTGGTCTAGAGATCCACATGTCACTATGATGGAACCCTGGGGTCTAGAGATCCACATGTCACTATGATGGAACCCTGGGGTCTAGAGATCCACATGTCACTATGATGGAACCCTGGGGTCTAGAGATCCACGTGTCTCCATGAAGGGACAATGGGATGTAGAGATCTATTTGACTACATATTGGGATCACAGGGTGTAGAGATATATTTGACTACATACTGGGATCATGGGGTGTAGAGATCTATTTGACTTCATATTGGGATCCTGGGGTGTAGAGATCTATTTGACTGCATAATGGGATCATGGGGTGTAGAGATCTATTTGACTACATAATGGGATCATATGGTGTAGAGATCTATTTGACTACAAAATGGGATCATGGGGTGTAGCGATTTATTTGACTACATAATGGGATCATAGGGTGTAGAGATCTATTTGACTACATATTGGGATCCTGTGGTGTAGAGATCTATTTGACTACATATTGGGATCCTGGGGTGTAGAGATCTATTCGACTACATAATGGGATCATGGGGTGTAGAGATCTAATTGACTATATAATGGGATCATGGGGTGTAGAGATCTATTTGACTACATACTGGGATCATGGGGTGTAGAGATCTATTTGACTACATAATGGGATCATGGGGTGTAGAGATCTATTTGACTACATACTGGGATCATGGGGTGTAGAGATCTATTTGACTACATATTGGGATCATGGGGTGTAGAGATCTATTTGACTACATACTGGGATCATGAGGTGTAGAAATCTATTTGACTACATATTGGGATCATAGGGTGTAGAGATCTATTTGACTACATATTGGGATCATGGGGTGTAGAGATCTATTTGACTACATATTGGGATCCTGGGGTGTAGAGATCTATTTGACTGCATAATGGGATCATGGGGTGTAGATATCTATTTGACTATATAATGGGATCATGGGGTGTAGAGATCTATTTGACTACATACTGGGATCATGGGGTGTAGAGATCTATTTGACTACATAATGGGATCATGGGGTGTAGAGATCTATTTGACTACATATTGGGATCCTGGGGTGTAGAGATCTATTTGACTATATAATGGGATCATGGTGTGTAGAGATCTATTTGACTAGATAATGGGATCATGAGGTGTAGAGATCTATTTGACTACATACTGGGATCATCGGGTGTAGAGATCTATTTGACTACATACTGGGATCATGGGGTGTAGAGATCTATTTGACTACATACTGGGATCATGCGGTGTAGAGATCTATTTGACTACATTTTGGGATCATGGGGTGTAGAGATCTATTTGACTACATATTGGGATCCTGGGGTGTAGAGATCTATTTGACTGCATAATGGGATCATGGGGTGTAGATATCTATTTGACTACATAATGGGATCATAGGGTGTAGAGATCTATTTGACTACATAATGGGATCATGGGGTGTAGAGATCTATTTGACTACATAATGGGATCATGGGGTGTAGAGATCTATTTGACTACATATTGGGATCCTGGGGTGTAGAGATCTATTTGACTACATATTGGGATCCTGGGGTGTAGAGATCTATTTGACTACATATTGGGATCATGGGGTGTAGAGATCTATTTGACTTCATAATGGTATCATAGGGTGTAGAGATCTATTTGACTACATACTGGGATCATGGGGTGTAGAGATCTATTTGACTACATAATGGGATCATGGGGTGTAGAGATCTATTTGACTACATACTGGGATCATGGGGTGTAGAAATCTATTTGACTACATATTGGGATCATAGGGTGTAGAGATCTATTTGACTACATATTGGGATCATGGGGTGTAGAGATCTATTTGACTACATATTGGGATCCTGGGGTGTAGAGATCTATTTGACTGCATAATGGGATCATGGGGTGTAGATATCTATTTGACTATATAATGGGATCATGGGGTGTAGAGATCTATTTGACTACATACTGGGATCATGGGGTGTAGAGATCTATTTGACTACATAATGGGATCATGGGGTGTAGAGATCTATTTGACTACATATTGGGATCCTGGGGTGTAGAGATCTATTTGACTGCATAATGGGATCATGGGGTGTAGAGATCTATTTGACTACATATTGGGATTCTGGGGTGTAGAGATCTATTTGACTACATAATGGGATCATGGGGTGTAGAGATCTATTTGACTACATACTGTGATCCTGGTGTGTAGAGATCTATTTGACTAGATAATGGGATCATGAGGTGTAGAGATCTATTTGACTACATACTGGGATCATCGGGTGTAGAGATCTATTTGACTACATACTGGGATCATGGGGTGTAGAGATCTATTTGACTACATACTGGGATCATGGGGTGTAGAGATCTATTTGACTACATTTTGGGATCATGGGGTGTAGAGATCTATTTGACTACATATTGTGATCCTGGGGTGTAGAGATCTATTTGACTGCATAATGGGATCATGGGGTGTAGATATCTATTTGACTACATAATGGGATCATAGGGTGTAGAGATCTATTTGACTACATAATGGGATCATGGGGTGTAGAGATCTATTTGACTACATAATGGGATCATGGGGTGTAGAGATCTATTTGACTACATATTGGGATCCTGGGGTGTAGAGATCTTTTTGACTACATATTGGGATCCTGGGGTGTAGAGATCTATTTGACTACATATTGGGATCATGGGGTGTAGAGATCTATTTGACTTCATAATGGTATCATGGGGTGTAGAGATCTATTTAACTACATACTGGGATCATGGGGTGTAGAGATCTATTTGACTACATACTGGGATCATGGGGTGTAGAGATCTATTTGACTACATATCGTGATCCTGGGGTGTAGAGATCTATTTGACTTCATAATGGTATCATGGGGTGTAGAGATCTATTTGACTATATAATGGGATCATGGGGTGTAGAGATCTATTAGACTACATACTGGGATCCTGGGGTGTAGAGATCTATTTGACTAAATAATGGGATCATGGGGTGTAGAGATCTATTTGACTACATACTGGGATCATGTGGTGTAGAGATCTATTTGACTACATACTGGGATCATGGGGTGTAGAGATCTATTTGACTACATATTGGGATCATGGGATGTAGAGATCTATTTGACTACATATTGGGATCCTGGGGTGTAGAGATCTATTTGACTACATACTGGGATCATGGGGTGTAGAGATATATTTGACTACATAATGGGATCCATATGTCCACATGAGGGTACCTTGAAGTCAAGAGATCCACATGACTACATAATAGGACCCTGGAGTCTAGACATCCGCATCTCTACATGATGGGATTAGGTAAACACAGGATCTCCACTTTAGTACTCGAAAGACGACAAGTTAGATGGATCCAGTTGCAGGCAGAACCGAGGCACGGCTTGTCTGATGTAGCGACAGTTCTTTAGATCTTCCCATTCCTCGTCCGTGATGGGACCCCGGATAGTTGTTGGAGTCAGGAACTCTCTACACTGCAGGGGTCGTGGGTTGACGGTGTAAACTCTGGGTAGCAAGATCGGTGGCAGCCTCAACTGGCGTTTTCTCCTGGATCTCAGATCATGCACGCTGCTGTCTTGGCGGGAAAGTCTGAGGGAGACTGGGGTGGTTAGGTCACCAGCAGGCATGGACGGGTCGTTGTCTGTGTTGGGCCAGGCGGTTAAGTCATTGTTTAAAGTTTGATGAGCGTGTTTGCCCACGGGTGTGCCTGAGTGAGAGGCATATGTCGATGTTTGATTACCGGTGTCAAGGCTGGGCAGGTAGCTCACAGTTCTGCAACAAGCATCTGAACCTGCGGGCTCGCCTGGGCTTTCTTCAAGAACCTGTAATCCAGTAAAAACATAGTTTAGGCTTAAATATAGGTACAGTATCATAGAGAAGTAGGTGCAGGTACAGTATCATAGAGAAGTAGGTGCAGGTACAGTATCATAGAGAAGTAGGTGCAGGTACAGTATCATAGAGAAGTAGGTGCAGGCAGAGTATCATAGAGAAGTAGGTGCAGGGACAGTATCATAGAGAAGTAGGTGCAGATGCAGTATCATAGAGAAGTAGTTGCAGGTACAGTATCATAGAGAAGTAGGTGCAGGTACAGTATCATAGAGAAGTAGGTGCAAACAGAGTATCATAGAGAAGTAGGTGCAGGTACAGTATCATAGAGAAGTAGGTGCAGGCAGAGTATCATAGAGAAGTAGGTGCAGGTACAGTATCATAGAGAAGTAGGTGCAGGTACAGTATCATAGAGAAGTAGGTGCAGGCAGAGTATCATAGAGAAGTAGGTGCAGGTACAGTATCATAGAGAAGTAGGTGCAGGCAGAGTATCATAGAGAAGTAGGTGCAGGCAGAGTATCATAGAGAAGTAGGTGCAGGCAGAGTATCATAGAGAAGTAGGTGCAGGCAGAGTATCATAGAAAAGTAGGTGCAGGTACAGTATCATAGAGAAGTAGGTGCAGGCACAGTATCATAGAAAAGTAGGTGCAGGTACAGTATCATAGAGAAGTAGGTGCAGGTAGAGTATCATAGAAAAGTAGGTGCAGGTACAGTATCATAGAGAAGTAGGTGCAGGTACAGTATCATAGAGAAGTAGGTGCAGGTACAGTATCATAGAAAAGTAGGACAGCTACAGTATCATAGAGAAGTAGGTGCAGGTAGAGTATCATAGAAAAGTAGGTGCAGGTACAGTATCATAGAGAAGTAGGTGCAGGCAGAGTATCATAGAGAAGTAGGTGCAGGTAAATTATCATAGAGAAGTAGGTGCAGGCAGAGTATCATAGAGAAGTAGGTGCAGGTAGAGTATCATAGAGAAGTAGGTGCAGGCAGAGTATCATGGAGAAGTAGGTGCAGGCAGAGTATCATAGAGAAGTAGGTGCAGGCAGAGTATCATAGAGAAGTAGGTGCAGGTAAATTATCATAGAGAAGTAGGTGCAGGCAGAGTATCATAGAGAAGTAGGTGCAGGTAGAGTATCATAGAGAAGTAGGTGCAGGCAAAGTATGATAGAGAAGTAGGTGCAGGTAGAGTATCATAGAGAAGTAGGTGCATGTAGAGTATCATAGAGAAGTAGGTGCAGGTAAAGTATCATAGAGAAGTAGGTGCAGTTAGAGTATCATCTAGAAGTAGGTGCAGGTAGAGTATCATAGAGAAGTAGGTGCAATTAGAGTATCATAGAGAAGTAGTGCAGACAGTATCATAGAGAAGTAGTGCAGACAGTATCATAGAGAAGTAGTGCAGACAGTATCATAGAGAAGTAGTGCAGACAGTATCATAGAGAAGCAGTGCAGACAGTATCATAGAGAAGTAGTGCAGACAGTATCATAGAGAAGTAGTGCAGACAGTATCATAGAGAAGTAGGTGCAGGCAGATTATCCTAGAGAAGTAAGTGCAGGTACGAACGAACGAACGAACAAACTTTATTTTCAAAGGGTTACAAATTGGGCACGCAGGCCCGTCTTACATTCGGCCCTTCTAAGTACTCATTTTTCAGAGTACCAATACCTGTTATCAATAATGCATGTTATGGATTTAATAAAGAAATATACATTATAGTATAATGCTTACACACATCATGTGTACACAATCGTACACACTCACACACACACGTAAATATACTCCTATGTTATCATACATGCGAACTCATATACAGACATACATGATACATACCCACACGCATGTACATACATATACAAACATACACATACATAGACATAAATGCACAAACAGAAAACACACACACATATATGGATATACATGCACAAACACATTCCATACATACACATCTATACATGCACCCATGCATACACACATTTACAATCACATGTACAGACACCAACATATGCCCAAAACCACACATTTACACTAATATAAATACATACACCCACATACATGTATACATATATTCACACATACATTTATACATAAACTCACATCTTTACACACATACATACATACCTAAATATACTTTCATATATCCACATGCATACACACACAATCACACACACATGAATATCAAAGATAAGTAGGTGCAGGCAGAGTATCATAGAGAAGTAGGTGCAGGTAGAGTATTATAGAGAAGTAGGTGCAGGTAGAGTATTATAGAGAAGTAGGTGCAGGTAGAGTATTATAGAGAAGTAGGTGCAGGTAGAGTATTATAGAGAAGTAGATGCAGGTAGAGTATCATATAGAAGTAGGTGAAGGCAGAGTATCATAGAGAAGTAGGTGCAGGTAAAGTATCATAGAGAAGTAGGTGCATGTAGAGTATTATAGAGAAGTAGGTGCAGGTAGAGTATCATAGAGAAGTAGGTGCAGGTAGAGTTTTATAGAGAAGTAGGTGCAGGTAGAGTATCATAGAGAAGTAGGTGCAGGTAGAGTATTATAGAGAAGTAGATGCAGGTAGAGTATTATAGAGAAGTAGGTGCAGGTAGAGTATCATAGAGAAGTAGGTGCAGGTAGAGTATTATAGAGAAGTAGGTGCAGGTAGAGTATTATAGAGAAGTAGATGCAGGTAGAGTATTATAGAAAAGTAGGTGCAGGTAATCATAGAGAAGTAGGTGCAGGTAGAGTATCATAGAGACGTAGGTGCAGGTAGAGTATTATAGAGACGTAGGTGCAGGTAGAGTATTATAGAGAAGTAGGTGCAGGTAGAGTATTATAGAGAAGTAGGTGCAGGTAGAGTATTATAGAGAAGTAGGTGCAGGTAGAGTATTTTAGAGAAGTAGGTGCAGGTAGAGTATTATAGAGAAGTAGGTGCAGGTAGAGTATTATAGAGAAGTAGGTGCAGGTAATCATAGAGAACTAGGTGCAGGTAGAGTATCATAGAGACGTAGGTGCAGGTAGAGTATCATAGAGAAGTAGGTGCAGGTAGAGTATCATAGAGAAGTAGTCGCAGGTAAAGTATCATAGAGATGTAGTCGCAGGTAAAGTATAATATATATATATATATATATATATATATATATATATATATATATATATATATATATATATATATATATATATATATATATGATATATATATCACATGTATTTATCACACACACACTCATCTGTATTTTAAGCCAAGAAATAACACAAGCCAAGAGATAACATACGCAAGAGATGAGATAACATAAGCCAAGAGATAACATAAGCCAAGAGATAACACAATCCCAGAGATAACACAAGCCAAGAGATAACATAAGCCAAGGGATAACAAAAGCTAAGAGATACCATAAGCCAAGAGATGACACAAGCCATGAGATAACACAAGCCAAGAGATAACTCAAGCTAAGAGATAACACAAGCTAAGAGATAACATAAGCCAAGAGATAACATAAGCCAAGAGATAACACAAGCCAAGAGATAACATAAGCCGAGAGATAACACAGGCCAAGAGATAACATAAGCTAAGAGATAACATAAGCCAAGAGATAACATAAGCCAAGAGATAACACAGGCTAAGAGATAACACAAGCCAAGAGATAACACAAGCTAAGAGATAACACAAGCTAAGAGATAACATAAGCCAAGAGATGACACAAGCTAAGAGATAACACAAGCCAAGAGATAACACAAGCTAAGAGATAACATAAGCCAAGAGATGACACAAGCTAAGAAATAAAACAAGCTAAGAAATAACATAAGCCAAGGATGTGATAGAATAAGCCAATAGATAACACAAGCTAAGAGATAACATAAGCCAAGAGATATCACAAGCCAAGAGATAACACAAGCTAAGAAATAACATAAGCCAAGGATGTGATAGAATAAGCCAATAGATAACACAAGCTAAGAGATAACATAAGCCAATAGATAACACAAGCCAAGAGATAACACAAGCTAAGAGATAACAATAGCCAAGAGATGACACAAGCTAAGAGATAACATAAGCCAAGAGATGACACAAGCTAAGAGATAACATAAGCCAAGAGATAACACAAGCTAAGAGATAACATAAGCCAAGAGATAACACAAGCCAAGAGATAACAATAGCCAAGAGATGACACAAGCTAAGAGATAACATAAACCAAGGATGAGATAAAATAAGTCAAGAGATAACATAAGCCAAGAGATAACACAAGCCAAGAGATAACATTAGCCAAGAGATAACACAAGCTAAGAGATACCATAAGCCAAAAGATAATACAAGCCAAGAGATAACACAAGCTAAGAGATGACACAAGCTAAGAGATAACATAAACCAAGGATGAGATAGAATAAGTCAAGAGAAAACACAAGCCAAGAGATAACACAAGCCAAGAGATAACACAAGCCAAGAGATAACACAAGCCAAGAGATAACACAAGTCAAGAGATAACGTAAGCCAAGAGATAACACAAGCCAAGAGATAACACGAGCCAAGAGATAACACAAGCCAAGAGATAACATAAACCAAGGATTACATAGAACAAGCCAAGAGGTAACACAAGCCAAGAGATAACACAAGTCAAGAGATCTACCAATCTGACCTGTCCGTGCAGCCATCTAGGCTGTAGGTCTGGTATCGATGGCTCGGCTGTTAGATCTGACCTCTTACTTTTCTTCACCTGTGGCTGCTCTTTCAACGTTTGCTTCTCTCTCTCAATCCTCCGGCAATCGTGGGCCTTTTCTATTGCCAACAGTTTCTGAAGGAATGTCCATCTCTGTGTGGAGTCGCCCAGAGTGTCGGGAGCCCAGGGCTGGGCCACGCCTGGACCTACAAGCTGGAGGGGTTGCTCACCGACGTCGTAGATGGCTCGGTACACAGAGCTCTCAGCAACCGACATATTGGTTGAGAAAGCCATCAGTATCAATCTGTGCTGACAGGTTCGATTCTTCCTTGTCTCACTGAGCAGTCGAAGGTATGTTGTAGAGGCAACAGATGGGCTGTTGTGTGTTCAATGCTTGGGACAGTCTCTGCTGGAAGAAGTTGATAACAAACATAAATCACTAAACAATACTACGGTCTGCCTCAGATCATGCTCGTGTGTCAGTGCTGGCTGTGTGTGATGTGTAGGTGTCATGTGTGGAAATCGTGTTTGAGGGTGTGTGTGTGTATGCGTGTATATTGCATGTGTGGTGTGAGTATATGTGTGCGTTGCATATGTGTGTGTGGGTTTCATATGTAGTGAATGTGTATGTGTGGCATGTTCGTTTGTGTGTGTGTGTGTGTGTGTGTGTGCGTGTGTGTCGTGTATGTGTGTATGTTGGTTGTGTATGAGTTGAGAGAGATGCAGTATTCAGCTGCTGGACACCGTGTGCCCATGAGTGCGCGTTTATGTTTATGTGAAGTAGACACACGTCTATGAGAAGTTGACACCTCTCTTTGTAGTAGATATTGTCATTGTGAGGCAGATACATGTTTATGTGAAGTAGACTTACGTCTATGAGAAGTTGACACCTATCTTTGTAGTAGATATTGTCATTGTGAGGCAGATACATGTTTATGTAAAGTAGACTTACGTCTATGAGAAGTTGACACCTCTCTTTGTAGTAGATATTGTCATTGTGAGGCAGATACATGTTTATGTGAAGTAGACACACGTCTATGAGAAGTTGACACCTCTCTTTGTAGTAGACATTGTCATTGTGAGGCAGATACATGTTTATGTGAAGTAGACACACGTCTATGATAAGTTGACACCTCTCTTTGTAGTGGATATTGTCATTGTGAGGCAGATACATGTTTGTGTGAAGCAGACACATCTCTGTGTGAAGTAGATACATCTCTGTCTGAAGTAGATACATCTCTGTGTAAAACAGATACATCTCTGTGTGAAGTAGATACATGTCCTTGTGACGTAGATACATCTCTGTGTAAAACAGATACATGTCTGTGTGAAGTAGATACATTTCCTTGTGACGTAGATACATCTTTGTTTAAAACAGATACATGTATGTGTGAAGTAGATACATGTCTGTGTGAAATAGATACATGTATGTGTGAAGTAGATACATCTCTGTGTAAAACAGATACATGTCTGTGTGAAGTAGATACATGTCTGTGTGAAGCAGATACATGCATGTCTGAAGTAGATGCATGTCTGTCTGAAGTAGATGCATGCATGTCTGAAGTAGATGCATGTCTATCTGAAGTAGATACATGCAAGTCTGAAGTAGATACATGTCTGTGTGAAGCAGATAAGTTCATGTGTGAAGCAGATACATGTCTGTGTGAAGTAGATAGATACATGTCTGTGTGAAGTAGATACATGTCTGTGTGAAGTAGATACATGTCTGTGTGAAGCAGATACATGTCTGTGTGAAGCAGATACATGTCTGTGTGAAGTAGATACATGTCTGTGTGAAGTAGATACATGTCTGTGTGAAGTAGATAATGTCTGTGTGAAGCAGATACATGTCTGTGTGAAGTAGATACATGTCTGTGTGAAGTAGATACATGTCTGTGTGAAGTAGATACATGTCTGTGTGAAGTAGATACATGTCTGTGTGAAGTAGATACATGTCTGTGTGTTGTATATACATGTCTGTGTTAAGTGGATACATGTCTGGGTGAAGTAGATACATGTCTGTGTGTTGTAGATACATGTCTGTGTGAATTAGATATATGTCTGTGTGAAGTAGATACATGTCTGTGTGAAGTGGATGCATGTCTGTGTGAAGTAGATACATGTCTGTGTGAAGTGGATGCATGTCTGTGTGTTGTAGATACATGTCTGTGTGAAGTGGATGCATGTCTGTGTGTTGTAGATACATGTCTGTGTGAAGTAGATACATGTCTGTGTGTTGTAGATACATGTCTGTGTGAAGTAGATACATGTCTGTGTGAAGTGGATGCATGTCTGTGTGTTGTAGATACATGTCTGTGTGAAGTAGATACATGTCTGTGTGTTGTAGATACATGTCTGTGTGAAGTAGATACATGTCTGTGTGAAGTGGATGCATGTCTGTGTGTTGTAGATACATGTCTGTGTGAAGTAGATACATGTCTGTGTGAAGTGGATGCATGTCTGTGTGTTGTAGATACATGTCTGTGTGAAGTAGATACATGTCTGTGTGTTGTAGATACATGTCTGTGTGAAGTAGATACATGTCTGTGGGAAGTAGATAAATGTCTGTGTGGCATAGATACATGTCAATAAAGTATACAAGCAGAGCAAACTTCCACACTTGGAATATGGGTGAACTGCATGGTGTTCAGCATCTAGTACCACATTAAAGGAGTTAGACAAAGTGCAAAATCAAGCACTCAGAGTCATCACAGGAGGGATGAAATCAACCCTCATATTAGAAATGGAGAAAGCTGGGAAAACACAGACACTGAGAGAACGCAGAGATACAAAGTTGCAAATACAAGCTGAAAAGTTCCTCAGTATGCCAGATCACCCGATGGAAAATAGATTTCAGAACCAAGCCTTGGGATGGTTAAAAAGAAGCAGCTTTATACACCAAGCAAAAAGAATATTTAGACAAACTCCTGACCTTCCAGAAATTGGTTGCCCACTCAAAAGTATTCCGGAACAAACCCCATGGAGAGAAAAATGTAAACTAACGGTACAAATCCAGACAAATGTGAAAGGAATATTTGAAAAGAAAGAGCAAGATAGTGTACAACGCAGAATGGCCACCCTCAGTTATATTGATGAAGAATACCCACAAGAACAATGAGTCAGAGTCTATACAGATGTGTCGGCAGAAAGTGCAGTTAGAAATGGTGGTGATGGAGTGTACATCGAATTCCCAGATGGTACTAGGGATAAGTCCAGCGTACCAACCGGGAAGTACTGCCATAACTATGAAGCAGAAACTCAAGCTATCAAGATAGCTACAGAGAAACTGCTAAATACCAATCTTGGCTCACAATATGTGGTAATGCTGACAGATGCTAAATCAGTACTTGAAGCACTCCAGTCTAGGAAACAACCAGAATTGCAAACACTGCTGACACAACTCAGCCTTCAGCGAAGAGTTGTAATGCAATGGATACCGTCTCATTGTGGAGTGCCTGGAAATGAGAAAGCTGATCAACTGGCAAGGGAAGGTGCGACAAAAGAGCAGCCGGATGTACCAGTCACATACCACCAAAAGAAAAGAATCCTTAAATCGTTCAGGAAACCACCAGCCCCAGCACAAGACGACTATTTTATTATGGACAGACCAGAACAAGTCATTATCCTCCGCCACAGAACAGGGCACAACCAATTACGTAACCACATGTACACAAAATTCAAGATAGGTGTATCAGCCATGTGCACCTGTGGAAATGTGCCCCAGACAGCAGTGCATGTACTCCAGGACTGCACCGATTTTGACACATTAAGGCAAACCTTTTGGCCAGAAAGAACAACAGTGGAACGTAAACTCTATGGATCACTGAATGAACTAACAACGACAGTGAAATTTATACAAGAGACAAAACTGCTGATATAGACAACTTATTTCAGGCGAACGAAAGAAGAAGAAGAAGTAGATATATGTCTGTGTGAAGTAGATACATGTCTGTGTGGAGTAGATACATGTCTGTGTAGAGAAGATACATGTCTGTGTGGAGTAGATACATGTCTGTGTGAAGTGGGGTATTTTTGTGTGGAGGATATGGAGTCACAGGTCAAGGACGAGTGCATGTGCTTGTGTGTGTGGGGGGGGGGGGTTTGTGGAATGAAACTATCATTGTTAGATCTACAGACAAATGTCATGACAGTAAGATCTACAAATAGAAAGAATGTCTATGAGATCTACAAATAGATAGTATTTCTATAAGATCTACAAACAGATAGAATGTCTATAAGCTCTACAAATAGATAGGATGTCCATAAGATCTACAAATAGATAGGATGTCTATAAGATCTACAAATAGATATGATGTCCATAAGATCTACAAATAGATAGGATGTCTATAAGATCTACAAATAGATAGGATGTCCATAAGATCTACAAATAGATATGATGTCCATAAGATCTACAAATAGATAGGATGTCCATAAGATCTACAAATAGATATGATGTCCATAAGATCTACAAACAGATAGGATGTCTATAAGATCTGCAAATAGATAGGATGTCCATAAGATCTACAAATAGATAGGATGTCCATAAGATCTACAAACAGATAGGATGTCTATAAGATCTACAAATAGATAGGATGTCCATAAGATCTACAAATAGATAGGATGTCTATAAGATCTGCAAATAGATAGGATGTCAATAAGATCTACAAATAGATAGGATGTCCATAAGATCTACAAATAGATAGGATGTCAATAAGATCTACAAATAGATAGGATGTCCATAAGATCTACAAATAGATAGGATGTCCATAAGATCTACAAACAGATAGGATGTCTATAAGATCTACAAATAGATAGGATGTCCATAAGATCTACAAATAGATAGGATGTCTATAAGATCTGCAAATAGATAGGATGTCAATAAGATCTACAAATAGATAGGATGTCCATAAGATCTACAAATAGATAGGATGTCAATAAGATCTACAAATAGATAGGATGTCAATAAGATCTACAAATAGATAGGATGTCCATAAGATCTACAAATAGATAGGATGTCAATAAGATCTACAAATAGATAGGATGTCAATAAGATCTACAAATAGATAGGATGTCCATAAGGTCTACAAATAGATGTGACAGTATGAATGTCAGTGTAAGTATATATATTTATTCAGCAGTGGGTATATTTGGGTGTGTATGTATGAATGCGTTTGTATGCAGGAGTGTATGTATATGGATATATGAGTGTGTGGGTGTTTGTGTGAATGTATATCTATATATGCATACATGAGAGTACATGTGTGTGGATGCACGTAAGTGTATGGGTAAGTGCT